TGATCTCCATATACCTGCGTTTGTTCCATATCCCTTAATATCTTTGCTTAACAAATATTTATTTATCTCAGATTTAAAATTAACAACTGATGTAGCATCAACTACCATTTGTGGAAGAGATTTCTAAACCTCCAGCACCCTTTGTGTTTAGAAGTTTTCCTGACATTTCGCCTGAAAAGTCTGGTCCTAATTTTAAACTATGCCTCCTAGTTGTAGAATCCCCAACGAGTGGAAATATTTTATCTACTGTCTTATATCTTGTTAATATCTTGAAGACATTTATCAGATTACTCCATAACCTTCTAAATGTAGAAAGAAAAGCCACATTTTTAGAATTTCTTCTCACAAGTCCTGGTATCATTCTTGCAAACCTACATTGGCCAATATGCCTTTCCTACAGTGTGGTGTCCAGATCTGCTCTCCGTTCTCCAGGTGGGTGCATTCTCCTCACAGTTCACCCTCTCACCCAGTTTTTTTGTTGCCTGGAAACTTGGACAAATAACATTGAGTTCCCTCAGCTAACCCAGTACAGTATATTGTGAATAGCTGGAGTCCAAGCACTGATCTCTGCAATACCCCACTGTGACTGGCAGCTATTCAGCAAATGACCCATTTGTTTTTTCTTCATTTCCGGTCTGCCAACCAGTTCTCTATGTCATTACACTATCCCCAGTCCCATGTGCCTTAATATTAATGCCAATCTTTTATGTGGGCTCTTAGCAAAAGCCTTCTGAAAGTCCAAGTAAACCATTTTCACTGGTTCCCTTTGATCAACCGTACTAGTTACATCGTTGAAAATTTCCAGTAGATTTTGTCACACTAGTAGCTGGAATGGGCAGGCTCTCTTAAAAGGTTTGACAGATTATGCTTGTATCTGTAAGAGTTTAGAAGAATCAAAAGATGATATGATCAAAACTGTAAGTTTCTGAGAGATCTTGACAGTGTAGATGCAGAGAGAGTGTTTCCTGTTATGGAGAAGCTTGAACTAGCAGTCTCTTTAAAAGCAAGAAATTGCCTATTTAAAACAAAGATGAGGAAAACCGTTTTCTCAGACAATTCTGAATCTTTAGATCTCCTTTCCTGAGGAGGTGATCAGAGTAGAGTCTTTGCAGTTCTATTTTTGTGAAGGCACAAGTGAAAAGATTCTTGACAAGCAAAGGATGGACGGTCACCAAGGATGGGTGGGGATGTCGATTTGAGGTTACAATCAGGGCACCCATAATCTTATTAAATGGTGGAGCAGGCTTGAGGGTTGGAATAGCTGCCTGCAGTTCCATGTTGGTATGTTTGTAAAAATGGGGTCTTCAGCATTGACAAAGCAGATGGAGTGGCAGCGTAACAGATCTAGCAATCAGTCTACCAACTAAGTATTCCATTTTGATTTTGCCTGGGTGTTGGAATAAGGAAATGGTTTCTTAATTAAAAGAAAAATAGTTCTGAACACTGTTCAATAACTTCTATTCTACTTTGATAAATCATTCCAGATTTTGGTTGATGGACCTTGGGATATTTGACACAATAGCTGTGCAAGAATATCTGTTTTGTGTTGCAGTAGGGCTTTGAAATTGTTATTTTCTTAGTCATCAAATCCGGATAAGATTTATTTTCTTACTGCCTTGTCCCCACCTACAGTTTTAGGCTAAGTGCATATTCTGCTCATTACAGTTTGGTTCATGACCGCATCTGGTCGAAGCACAATTCCCATTGCTATGTGTTGTAATTCAAGGCAGGAAAATTGAGCAGAGATAGTAGGAACTGCCGATGCTGGAGTCTGAGATAACAAGGTGTAGAGCTAGATGAACACAGCAGGCCAGGCGGCATCAGAGGAGCAAGAAAGCTGACGTTTCGGGTCTGGACCCTTCTTCAGAAATCGGGGAGGGGAAGGGTGCTCTGAAATAAATAGAGAGAGGGGGAGGCGATGATAGAAGGTGGATAGAGGAGCAGATAGGTGGAGAGAAGATGAACAGGTCAAGTAGGCGGGGATGAAACCAGTACAGGTGAGTGTAGGTCGGGAGTTGGGATGGGGATTGGTCAGTGGGGAAGGAGGGGTGGGTAGGTGGGAGGGAAAACGGACAGGTCAAGGAGGCGGGGAGGATGAGGCTAGTAGGTAGGAAGTGGGGGTGGGTGTTGGTCAGCGAGGTGGGAGGACCGCGTAGGTGGGAGAAAAGACAGACAGGTCAAGGAGGCGGGAACGAGATGGGCTGGTCTTGGGATGAGGTCGGGAGTGGGGAGATTTTGAAGCTTGTGAAATCCACACTGAGACCATTGGGCTGCAGGGTTCCCAGGCGGAATATGAGGTGCTGTTCCTCCAGCCTTCGGGGGGCATCGTTGTGGCAATGGAGGGGGCCCAGAATGGACATGTCATCCAAGGAGTGGGAGGGAGAGTTGAAGTGGTTCGCGACTGAGAGGTGTTGTCGTTTGTCACGAACCGAGCGTAGGTGCTCCACAAAGCGGTCTCCAAGCCTCCGCTTGGTTTCCCCGATGTAGAAGAGGCCACATCGGGAACAGCGGATATAATATACCACAATAGCGGATGTGCAGGTGAACATCTGTTTAATGTGGAAGGTTTTCTTGGGGTCTGGGATGGAGGTGAGAGGGGAGGTGTAGGGGCAGGTGTAGCACTTCCTGCGGTTGCAGGGAAAAGTGCCGGGAGTGATGTGGCTGGTGGGGAATGTGGAGCGGACAAGGGAGTCATGGAGAGAGTGGTCCCTCCAGAAGGGTGGTGAGGGAAATATGGCCTTCGTAGTGGGGTCAGATTGCAGGTGGCGGAAGTGATGGAGAATGATGCGTTGGATCCAGAGGTTGATGGTGTGATATGTGATGACAAGGGGAATTCTGTCTTTGTTGTTATTGCGGGGAGAGGGTGTGAGGGCTGAGGTGCGGGAAACGCGAGAGATGCGGTCGAGGGCATTTTCAACCACTGTGGAGGGGAAATTGTGGTCCTTGGAAAATGAGGACACCTGGGATGTCTGGGAGTGGAACGCCTCATCTTGGGAGCAGATGCGGCGGAGGCGAAGGAATTGGGAATAGGGGATGGCATTCTTGCAGGAAGGTGTATGAGAGGAGGTGTATTCTAGGTAGCTGTGGGAGTCGGTGGGCTTGACATAGATGTCAGTTTCTAGGTGGTTACAGGGATGGAGACAGAGAGGTCCAGGAAGGAGAGTGAGGTATCAGAGATGGTCCAGGTGAACTTAAGGTTGGGGTGGAAGGTGCTTTTGAAGTGGATGAACTGTTCAAGCTCCTCGTGGGAGCATGAGGCGGTGCCGATACAGTCATTGATATGACGGAGGAAGTGGTGGGGGTTGGGGCCAGTGTATCTGCTGAAGAGGGACTGTTCCACGTAACCTGCAAAGAGGCAGGCATAGCTTGGGCCCATGTGGGTACCCGTGACCACCCCTTTTGTCTGTGGAAGTGGGAGGAGTTGAAGGAGAAGTTGTTAAGGGTAAGGATGAATTTGTTTAGGCGGATAAGGGTGTCAGTGGAGGGGGACTGGTCGGGCCTGCGGGAGAGGAAGAAACGGAGAGCTTTTAAGCCATCTGCATGGGGAATGCAAGTATACAGGGACTGGACGTCCATGGTGAAGATGAGTTGTTGAGGGCCAGGGAATCAGAAGTTTTGGAGGAGGTGGAGGGCGTGGGTGGTGTCATGGATCATGTTCCTGGATCACGGGGGAGAAAATGGAGTCGAGATACGTGGAGATAAGTTCGGTGCGGCAGGAGCAGGCAGAGACAATGGGTCGACCAGGGCAGTCGGGTTTATGGATTTTGGGAAGGAGATAGAAACGGGTGGTGCGGGATTGGGGAACGATGAGGTTGGAGGCTGTGTGTGGGAGGCCACCTGAGGTGATGAGGTTATGGATGGTCTGGGAGATGATGTTTTGGTGGTTAGGGGTGGGGTCACGATCAAGGGGGCGGTTGAAGGAGGTGTCAGAGAGTTGGCGCCTGGCCTTGGTGATGTAGAGGTCAGTGCGTCATACCACAACTGCGCCTCCCTTGTCCTCTGGTTTTATAGTGAGGTTAAGGTGGGAGCGGAGGGCTGCAACTTCTGTAGGGGAGAGGTTGGAGTGGGTGAGAGAGGTGGAGAGGTTGAGGCGATTGATGTCACGACGGCAGTTGGAGATGAAGAGGTCAAGGGAGGGTAGGAGGCCTTGGGGTGGTGCTCAGGAGGAAGGGGTGTGCTGAGCATACCTTTTAGAAAAAACAAATCACTGTGTTTGATGTGATCATTTGTAAGTGTGGATAATAGCACCAAGCATGGAAGTTGTGCCTACGTTGTGATTTCAGAAAATTAACTGTTGTGAAATCAACATTTATTAAATCTAAAACACTATTAAATCTCTTGTTTGATTTCTGTTGCTTTTTTGTGTTGAGCATCAATGCAGTGGTTAGAAAGGAAAATTTAGTTACAAGATGTAGCTACAGAATAAAATTCCATACCAATTGAGTTCTTCGTTACAGAGTTATTTCGTTCTCGAAATCCATATCAACTGAATTCTATGATTGGGTTATCTGATTGGTTATCTGCTGGTATATGCAGAAAATGCCAAAATTACTTGATGTTAATCATTAATAAATGATTAAACGTTCGCGTAATGGATGACTTGCTCCATGTGGTTACACTACAGAGATTAATGTGGCATTGAAAACATTCTTTCTTTGCAGCAGTGTAGGATCCATCATAACATTACGTTGACCTGCCGCATCACCTTTGTCCATTTCATCTATTGAGCTCTATAATAATTGTCCCACCACCATGTTACTTAAAGTGAAGAACTGGAAGGCAAACCCAATAAATTCAGTGACTTGGAATAAGGTCAAACTGTGTAGATGGAGCCATCCGTGTGATTGTCATTATGCCAGAAAGAATTCATGCTTGTCTTCCACTTTAATTCCAATCATTAACACAATCACTGGCACCATAAAGGTGACACTAAAATTGAAGCTTTATGATTCACATGGTGTGTTTAGTTTTGTTTCAAAATTCTTTCTATTGTACTGCAGATTGGTGCATCAGTGGAAGTGAAAGGGTCTGATGGTTCTTACCAAGAGGCTGCCATTAATAAACTGACAGATGCCAGCTGGTATACTGTAGGTGAGTGAAGTGTTTTGTTTTCTCACAAATAAATTGGTCAAGTTTTGAAAATCTGGATTATTTCTCTCTGACCAGTGCTTCGAAGCTTCTCAGCTTGGACAATCTAAACTAGTCTATAAGAGACAACGCTGGCCCTGTCTAATGTCATACACTATGTGGCTTTTAGACTGGATGATCTCTGCACTGGCAAGAAGTACGTCCATACCTTGCTGTAGGGTTGCTGTAATTTTGTATATTGAGTCCATTAAAATATAGAGTAGAATATGTGGAGAAGTGTTAAAAATTAAATTTAGAAAGAACTGACTGATAAATGCTCTATTGTCAAAAATTAAGTCCTTATGAATTATATATTTTGTGAGTAAAGTAAGCTTTTGAATGCCCCCGGTATAATATGTTTTTAAGTACTTTGTTTATAGTCTATGTAAATTATCAGACAGGTTCTATCATAGAATCCCTCCAGTGTGGAAACAGGCCATTCAGCCCATTGAATCTACAGAATCTAAAGAGCAACCCACCCAGTCCTGCCCCATTTTACCCCTCTAACCCTGCATTTCCTGTGGCTAATCCACCTACCCTGCACATTCCTGGACACTGTGGGCAATTTAGCATGACCAATCCACCTAAACTGCACATATTTGGACTGTGGGAAGAAACTGGAGCACCCAGATGAAACTGTCACAGTCACGCAGAGAATGTGCAAGGTCCACACAGACAGTCACTCGAGGGTGGATTTGAACCCGGGTCCCTGGTGCTGTGAGGCAGCAGTGCTAACTACTGAGCCACTGTGCCCCTGCCCCGGCGTCACCTGTCACTTTCCTGAGGTTGAAATGTATTAATTGACCAAGCAAGATCTGCTATTAAGAGGTCTCTAGTCATCTTTGGCCACTTCATCAATGACCTTCCTTCCATCATGTAGTTAGAAGTGGGGATATTCACTGACTGAACAATATTCAGCATCATTTGTCACTCTCTAGATAATGAAAGCAGTCCATATCCACGTGTTGCATGTTTCAGCTGAGAAATGGCAAATAACATTCACGTCATAAAATGCCAATCAATAACTAAATCCAGCAAGAAAGAACCTGACCATTGTTCCTTGACATTGTGGTTATACTGTCACTGAATCCCACACTATCAACATTCTTTAGTTATCATTGACCAGAAACCTTACCTGACAGGGCATATAAATATTGTGGTTACAAAAGCAGGTCAGAGGTTAGGAATTCTGAATGTGACTTTGCCACATGTCTCCCCAAAGCCTGTTTACATGGCACAAGCCAGCAGTGTGATGAAATACTGTCAATGTGTCTCGATGAGTGTAGCTGCAACAAAACTTGAAGCTTGACACCATCCAGGAGAAAAGCCCATTTGATTAACATCTAATCCACCATGTTCAACATGCACTTTTTTCACCACCATGCATTTACCATCTCCAAGATGCATTACAATATCTCATCAAGGCTGCTTTGACTACACCTTCCAAACTTGTGACTTCTACCACCAAGAAGGAGAAGAGCTGCTGATATATAGGAAGTACACATTTCCCTCGAAGTCACAGACCATTGTGACTTGGAACTGTATCAGCACCCCTTAATTATTGCTGAGTCAAAATCCTGAAACTCCCTTCCTAACAGCTCCATGGATGTTGCTACACCCAAATGGTGGCAGTGGTTCAAGAAGGTAACTCGCCACCACCATCTTGAGAGCTGTTAGGAATAGGAAATGAATGTTGGGCCAGCTATGTCCCATGAACGAGCTAAAAAACATGTATGCTGCTGTCATCTTAATCTGCAGCTTTTCAAAATTGGGACATCAAATAAACTTAACAGTGGAAGTACATCAGATTCAATCTGAACTTGCGTTGCAGTTTGGAAAAGTGATTTAAGATCAGTCGATTTGGCTTTGGCCAATGCGGGTTGATTAGAAGGGGCTTAAAAAGGCTAAACAAAGCCACTGCAGCTGTTTGGGATCTTGTGGTTCCATTAAACCCTAATTTCTGCTTTGTGGCATGGCCTGTAAAAACACATGCAGGGGAGCAGCAGTGCTACGGATTAGCAGTCTGCGAGTCCTGAAAATTGCCGAGTCTGAAATGAGGAATGGCAAGTAAAGCAAGTAGCCAGATCTGCAATCAGTTGAAATGTTTAAATGGAGTAAACCGGGAACGCTAATATATTGTTAGTAAAATTCTCATTTAGGAATGGAATGTAGTGAATAATCTTTCCGAATTCAAACTTTCAAATCAAGAATAGAACTTTGTTTCCTTGAAACATAAAATAAACAATTGAAATTTTATAGGTTGAATACTTCAGATTGTCTGAAGATGATCAGAAACATGAGAAGAAAATAAGGACCATTTTAGAAAGTCAAGCACTTGTGAAAGTTAATTTCAGGACATATCAGTTGGAATTTGTTACATCCATAGGTAGCAACCACAAGAGTCAATTGACACGTGTCAGTCGCTGCTGGATATTTAAGATCTGACTTTATAGTCACAATTATTTGAAGATATATTGGTCCAGATATTCCGATGACGAGAGAATCATTGGAGCAGCGTACACTGAAGTTATGTTTTCCACGCTGATTCTCTTCATTGCTGAATTCTGGAATTCCTGGGCAGTTTCATAAAAGAATTTTGAATTTTGCGATGGCAGGATTGATGTATGTGGAGAGATGGAGTCAAATAGCATTGTATTCACTGCAATTTAGAAGGAAGGAGGATTTCAAAGAAAACCATAAAATTGTTACAGATGAGACTAGAGTCCAGAACCAGACATCATAGTTTAAGAATGGGGTAAACATTTTAAGATTCAGATGGGAAGTTCTTTGCTCAGATTGTGGTGAGCCTGTGGAATTCGCTACCACAAAAAGTGGCTGAGGCCAAAATGCAGTGCTTTGAAGAAGGAGGTAGATACAACAATTGTGGCTAAAGAGGTCAAAGAAAATGTGGGAGGATAGGATGAGGGTATTATGCTCGATGATCAGCCATGATCATATGGAATGACAGCAGGCTTGAGGGAGGTTGAATGGCCTATTTCTGCTCCTATCTTCTATAAATCTAAAGAACCAAGGGAAGAAAATTAGTAGGAGTCCAAATTGAAAGTGAAACAGTAAAATAATCTTCAGTATACAACTTGAACAAAATAAATGCAACTAATAATGATCAAATAGGTATTATGAACAAGTAATTATTCTAAAATATGTTGTCTGTATAGACTTCAGTGAAGTGTTTGACATGGTTCCCCACGGTAGACTGTTTAGTAAGGTTCAATCAATGGGATCCAAGGAGAGCTAACCAACTGGATGCAAAGTTGGCTTGGAAGCAGAAGGCAGAGGGTGGTGGTGGAGGGTTGCTTTTCAGATTGGAGGCCTGTGACCAGTGGTGTGCCACAAGGATTGGTGCTGGGTCCACTGCTTTTCATCACTTATATAAGTGATTTGGATGTGAATACAGGAGATATTATTAGTAAAATTTGGAATACAGTGAAGAAGGTTATCTCAGAGTACAATGGGACCTTGATCAGATGGGCCGATGGGCCAATGGGCCAAGGAAAGGCAGATGGAGTTTATTTTAGATAAATGTGAGGTGTTGCATTTTGGTTTGGCAAACCAGGGCAAGACCTATACACTTAATGGTAAGGCCCTGGGCAGTGTCGCTGAACTGAACAGGTGCATAATTTCTTGAAAGTGGACTCCCGTAGACAGGGTGGTGAAGAGGGTGTTTGGCACACTTGCCTTCATTGGTCAGAACATTGAATACAGGAGTTGGAATGTCATGTTGTGACTGTACAGGACACTGGTGAGGCCACTTATAGAATATTGTGTACAATTCTGGTCACCCTTCAAAAGGAAGGACGTTGTTAAACTTGAGGGTGCAGAAAAGACTTAGAAGGATGTTGCTGGGACTGAAGGGTTTAAACTGCAGGGAGAGGCTGAATAGGCTGGGACCTTTCCCCCCCAGACCAAGAATTGCCAAGTATCATCATGGAGCAAAACATCTGAGATCTCCATATGAATTAATCTGGTTTCCATCTGAAAAAAACCAAGATTTCTTGAGAGCTGGCTCATATGAAATGGAGGGAATAAATAATTAACTTAAAAATTCGACGTCAATTCAAGGAGATGTCTGATTATGCAAAAGCCAACAATTCTTCCACAACGATCATACTTGCAATGGTGAGGTTTGAAAAAAGCTTTAGAAGATTGTGTGCTGTCATTGTGCAATAAGGCAACACACCAGTGAATTAAGACCACTGTGATAACAGTCAGAGATCTCCAAGAAATTTATGTGACCAAATTGGTTGTAGCAAACCAGTGTGTCATTTCAGAAACTGTTAAAACTCTCAACATACAAGTTTTGTCATAATAACAGTGGGGTGTTATGATATTATTATAAGTGTATAATCTTAACTTTACAGGAGTGTTAGTGTAGTGTGTCTGTAAATAGTTATGTCCTTGATCATCAGACGGGATATGATGTAATGTCACCTGACACAGTAGTCGGAATGCGTTTGTTAAGCAAACATGTATGCGTTAAGAAGCCCAGCAACATGTATGCTGTAGTCATCTTCAAATAAAGAAGTTACAATGCAGTTTACTTGTCCTACTTGAATGATTGGTAAATTTATGTTTGTGGAACAGAAAAAGACCCAACAGCTCCTACCATCTGGTTGAGTTTGGCAGGGTGTTGCAGGAAGGCAAGCATTCTGCTGCAGAAAAATATTAATTTAAAAGTTCTAAATGTAATTGTCAGCTTGTAGAATGAATATTCTGAGAATGAGGTCAAATGAGCCAATTCATTTTTGATTTAGTTGGTCGCGTTGTGAAGAGTGCAGATAGCCTTAGCTTGTAGGAGAAAATATATGGGCTAGTTGGATAGACTGATCAGTGGCAAATGGAGTTCAACTCTGGGTAAATGTACGGTGATGCATTTGGACAGGACACGCATGGCAAGAAGTGCACGTTGAATGGTAGGACCCAAGGAGATACTGAGGATCAGAGGA